AAGGTTTCTTATTCTTTTGGTTCCAAACAAATATCTATTGTAAAACAAGGTGATAGATTTGATGAAAAAATAAGAGCTTTATTAAGTATTGAACAAGATTCTAACTACATGATGCCTATTGTAGTTGAACAAACTTATTTTCCAACATATCATCTTCTTTGGCAATCATATTCTTTATTTTGTAATTACTTCTTTAGATAATATTAAACAATATGCTTAAGTTTTCTATAATATAAGCACAATTCTTCTTCATAACATTGTTTTTTTTCTTGCTTAGTAAGAAGTTTAAAATATAATATCTTAATTTGTATAGGTTTTGGCATTGATGAATAAATTTCTAAAAACTAAGAAATTATTGCCATAACTTAATTTGTACTACTTCAATCAAATTGATGTTCTTAGAATCTTTCAAAAAGTCAATTATTGCATGCAATGGCTTGAGCAAAACATTATTCCAATGAATTTGCTCTCAATATTGTCAACAATAAATCTTTGACACTATCTTTCAATACATATCAAAGTTGATTGATAAGGGCTTTGTCATTCCAATCTATATTGCAAACAAGATTTTATAATTTAATAGCATCTATAGTAATTGAATGTGATCTTTGTTATAAGAATTTGAGTTTGATCTTTTTTATCCTTTTTTATTATTTTTTTCAGATATGATCATAAATACTTCTAAAAATGAATTAAGATCATAAAAGAGTCATGAATCTTTTTCTACCAAAGATGCAAATTTAAAAGTAACACTTCCAAATAGAAGTGTAGCTATGAATCTAACTTAAATAAATCCATTAAAGTATTGAAAAGAATACTACCTTAAATAACACTTCAATTATTATAAAAATCCTCAAAACTTTAATCTTGTTCCATCAAACTTCTTTGGCATGCTTATTGTTGCCTTTCTTATACTTATTATAGCAAAACCTCTTGGGTTCAATTGTGAGCTTGATCTACTTGCTTATCTCAATTGTAGAATTTATTGATATAGACTTTGAATTTTATTATTGACTTCTTTTATTGTCTTAAAAATAGTATATCTATAGTTGACATTAGTAATATGTGAGATTTCTACTTTGAAAGAGTTGACAAGCTTATAAAGATTTATAATAGTTACAAACCTATTCTTAATTTTACTAAGTATAGCATTTATAATTTTTTCTTTTATTTTTATAATGTATGACTTTAAAAAATATAAATGTCAAATTAGAGGAGGATATTTTATAACCTCTAATATCAAATGAAATTTTTTTATAAAGAAAGATAATCCATTTTCTTTAAAAAAAGAATCAACATTAGATAATAAAAAAATATTAATTTAAAGGTGGATAGTCCATAATCTTTAAAGCACACTAAAAGAAGTAAAGTAATATTTTGACTTCTAAAATAAAATAAGAATCATAATTTAGCACTCTTGTCAAATTATCAAGGATATGAATGACAACAAATAAAACCTCAATATTTTCTTGTGTTATTCCAAAAATATAGATATTCACTCAAAATTAGTATAATTTTGAAATTGGAATGGCTATTGTCAAAGACCAAAAGACTAGAGACTCTTGAAATAAGATTAAGGATTAGAAAATCATTGACAAGAGTAAAGAAGGCTTTACTCTTGTGTCCATATAAACTATCTAACTATGAGCTATGTGGCGACATTTTATAAGACCTTCAACACATGTCTAACTTGCAAGACAAGTTTCTTATATGTGCATCACATGGTTAGTTCATACCACAAGCTACTAATACATGCAACATGTGGTGGCTAATTTATTAGCAAATTTTTTAACCTACCAATCAATAATAAATATGTATAAAATCAAATTCACATCTATGAAGCTTTTAGAGCCTTTACCACAAGATATTATAAATCTACCTACATTTATCTTTTATCTAATGCTTCTTATTTAGATAATTGCAATATTGTTCAATTTTTAATTAAATCAAGTAATTTTGGCTTCTCTTATGTTTTATTAGCTAGACTTTAATCCAATTTAAAAAATTGTTTTTTGGTGGATTAGATATTTTTTTATCTACCTAAGGCTTATTTGGCCACAATTTATATATTATCTAGATTCTATTGGTCTACATCTAATTAATTAATTTGGTTAAAATTTGATTTTTTGAATACATAACAATATTGCTGTAATTTTTTTTAATTATTCAATATATCTATTTATATGTAGCCATTTTATTAGGAATTTCAATTATATTTTTATATTTATCAATATAAATAAAAAGTATTTTTTTTCCAATTAAAACAAATATAGTGCAAAGTCTATCTAATTATTTCTTTCAGTGTTATCATCAAGGTGCTATTTTATATGGATTTTAATACAATTGTTTTGTATAAATTCCAACAAAAAATAAAATTTGAAGTTTATGGTAAAAATTGGAGTTTTAATCTTTAAAATTTTGAAATCAGTTAATTTAAAAATAGTATATTAAATAAAATTATTTACTATGTCTTTATTTATATTACTAGTTAGAATATTTTTAAGTTTCAGGTTACAATTTTAAAATTTTATGTCATGTAAATAAAAAAATATCTTTTGCAATACAATAAATAGCATCTAAAATTAAACTATTTTGTTTTTATTTTTATTTTTATTTTCTAATATATTTCTTAAGCTTGTGTAAACTAAATTTATTACTAAATATAACCATATATATAAATTAGATAATACAAAGATTTTATCAGTTTTATTATATTTATTAATTATTAAAATAAAATATTTAATAAAATTAAGATAACTTAGATTAACTAAAATTTGTAGTTTATCAATATAAAAAAATTATTAAAAACACCCATTATTTTTGTTGCATTTAAAACTTCAAATTACTTGAATTTTATAAACTCTTCTTAGAGATCCTTAATTTATATATTGTATAATTCACCAAAAAAAAAAAATCTACTAAAAGTTCTAAAACATCTAATGTTTTACTTTTAAAGCAACCTAAAACCATAAATCTATATAAAAGATGATTTATTATTTTATAATTGAAAAAACGATCTTTTCAAATATCATAGATTGATCTCTTATATATGTTTTTGTCATCTTCTTCTACTTCATAAAGCATTACAATATGAATAGTAAACAATATAATTCTTTTAATTTTTTCTAAATAGTGTATTAAAAGCATACCACATGCAATGTTAGAATAATACTTAAAATAAATGAAAAAATTTTAAAACATTATTTTTGTACTTAGAATATAGCTACTTGATACCAATTTTTATAACTATATTTGTTTAGAAATAAATAAATTTTAGTTATCATAAAGAATAATTTATTAAATTTGATTCCATATTTTAAATTATTTTTAATATAGGATTATTATAAATATATGTTAACCATAATACAAAAAATATTCTCATGAAGAATTTTTTTTAAAATAATATAATTCTTTTATTTTTAAAGATTGTACTTGACATTGTCTCTAAATGTTTCCAAGAAAGTATAAGAATAAATCAAACAAAAACCTCAAAATCCTTGATATATACTTTGTAGATTTAATTTAATGATTTAGTCACAATTAAATAGTGAAAAATATAAAATAACAACCTTTAATTACATAATCAACACCATATGTATATATTTTTTTAAAGATACTTTAATGTTCTTTAAAATAAAATTTTGTAAAATTAAAATTAAAATATTGTTATTGTAATATCTTAGAATACAAAAAATATTCATGAATATTACTTCAATCTACAAGAATCTCTTTTTTAAACTTAGGATAGTATAAAATAATCTTAATATAAAAAAAATCTACATTATTTTCCAATCTGATGTTAAAATCAGCATCTTTTCATTAATTCAATTTTATGCATACTTTTGCTAACAAACATGTGCTACACCCACAGAAAAAATCCATTAAAGTAGAAAATAACCTACATACCTCCCTAACATTCATTTGTTTGCATAACATTTTCATGAATTGAATATCAAACAACCAAATCGTAATGCTTATATTTCAACGACAAACACACAAAACAACCCAAAATTCCTTAAAAAATTACATCTGGTGAAATCTACTGCTCTTGTTTAATCATCAAACAGAACCCAAAACAGGTGAACTTTCAACCTTCACTTCTCTCCGTGTGCAAGTCATATGATTTTGGAAGAACACAACACAGCACATCTAGTTAAACATAAACGTGCGACGAATAATACCCAAAGAATTTGCAGGACTGCACACTTTGTGTTCAAACATTGAAAACAGTAACCCGCAGCAGGCGTGACACTATTCCAGCAACATAAACATTGGGCGACAACAAAAGCAATTCACGGCCAATTCGAAAACAACAAAGCTAACATATCTACACCCTTGAGTTGTTTTTGACTTGGAAAATGCAAAGAGAAAGTGGAAGATTCTTGAGCAAGATACATTATAAATACTTATATAATTTGGAAGTATTATGTTAAACCAAGGCATGGAGTTGTACTATTTAGCAATATTTGTATGGACCCATGGATTTTTGGATGTTAAGATGAATGAACACAAGCAAGTAAATCTTATTTTTGCAAATAATTTATTAAAAATAAAATATAAAAATCTCATGAGACCTCCAAATTATATAAGTATTTATAATGTATCTTGCTAAAGATCATATATTATAAATACTTATTATAAATACTTATATTTATAATGAATCATACTTCCAAATTTTTATATGAGTATTTATAAAGATCATACATTATAAATAATTATTATAAATACTTATATAAAATCTCATGAGTCCTCTATATATATATATATATATATATATACATATAATTATTTTCCAAGAATTTGATGTTGATATTTAACAGAGAGGAGATGGATGACCACGAAGTCGTCGCGTTATTTTCATCAACGATAGTCATCCATTCGCAGAGGCACTCCGTTCGTCACGAGGATGGATAGAATATCCTCAGATGAATCCCGGACGATTCATCCTTCATCCAAACTTACACGAGGAAATTGCAGACGATGAAGCAAAAGGGAAGCCATCCGGGCAACAAACACTCTGCGTCTTACAAGTCATGCTCCACTGCTCTTCTTCGAAGCTTGTTGTCCGAGATTTGAAAGCTCTCGTTAATTGGTTGTGGCCATAGCCAAGCGGGATCGACGCAGAGGATGATGCAGCGGAGCTGCGACGGTTCCTGAGAGTGGGCGAATTCGGAGGAGCGTTTTTTTGTCAATTTTGGCTTGGAGCAGTGTTGAAGCGAGAGAGTCAGAAGCCATGGATTTCAAGTCAATGGATGTGCGAACCCTAACGCTGCTGGGAGCAGGGATGTGCACGATAGCGTCGATGCATTTCACGTCGCAGCTGGTTGGACAGCATCTTTTTTACTGGAACAATCGGGCTCAGCAGAAGCTCATCATTATCATTATCTTGATGGCGCCTATCTATGCCGTGACGTCTTTCTTCGGCCTGGCGCAAATTCAAGGCAGCGAGATTTTTTTCACTTTTCTGGAGTCGATCAAAGAGTGTTATGAAGCTCTTGTCCGTGGTTTTATTCCTCTCTAATGCTGTCTGCGTGTTTTTCTTTTTTTTTTTCGACTTTTTTCGACTTTTTCGACTTTTTTGTTAATTTTTTTGAACTGCATTCGTGATATTCCATGGCATACGGACGAGATGGATTTGCATCAACTAGTCTAGAATTCTGTCATTTTTTCGATCATAAGAGTTACATAAGCAGCTTAATAACAGTCTGAATCTTGAGTTAGATGAGGTTAGATAGGACACAACTCTGGTGTGTGCCATGTGTTCCTTGCGCGCATTCATGAAATTAGATTGAAATGACAAGCCTGTTGTTATCATCAATATCTTATTTTTTGCTCTTGCGTTTCTCTGCTGCTCTTGTCTACTTGATTTCACTCTGTTGAAGATGATGTTCTCCATTTTTCAAGTGTATGTTGAGAGTCCAGAGAATATCGTCCTTTTATGCTTTGATAAAGGCTTCACCAGATGTTTAGGCTAGCTGCAACAGAATGGCACAAGATTCTTATGGAATGTTTTGGTCCTCACAAGCGTTTACTTCTGATGTCAATGATATGTGCAGGTAATTGCGTCATTTTTGAACCTGATGTATGAATATGTGGGTATATCTACATCCAAGCGTGTTGTTCCAGATGAGATCAAAGGACGCGCCATCCACCACAGCTTTCCAATGACATTGTTTGTGGTACTCATCCCCTCTTCTGAAGACATTTTGTGGAGATTTGAGTCATATACTTGTATCTTTGTGTACTAAAATAGGGATTTGTACCCGGACTTCGTTGGAAGCAAAGTGTTGCACTCTATTGATATAACTGTATTTTTTATGGCTTCTTGCAGTCAAAAGAAGAGAAGTGTGATGTGAAATCATTGAAACGGCTTCAAGATTGGACGTGGCAGTTTGTCATTCTGCGGCCACTGTTGTCTGTTCTTGTCATATTCTTGGAGTGGATGGGTTTGTATGAGGGCCTCATCTCATGGACTGTAACACTCGTCCTGAATGTCTCAGTATCTCTGGCGATGTACTCGCTTGTTGTATTTTATCATTTGTTTCATGCCGAGCTAGCCCCCCACAATCCCCTTGCCAAAATTCTGTGCATCAAAGGTGTCGTTTTCTTCTCTTTCTGGCAGGTAAAGTTTCTGGATCCATTTACCAACTACAGAGATATTGTGTCATTTGGACTAGCGTGCACTAGTTTGAGTTATTGTTATTATGTCTGCATCTATTCTGTTATGGACAAGTGCTTAATATTTAACACCCGTCTACTTTTCATTTTCCAGGGAGTGGCATTGCAGTTGCTAGCAGCAGCAGGTATAATTCGGGCCGAGCACATTTGGCTGGAAATCAACCAAATAGAGGAAGCCTATCAAAATATTTTTGTATGCGTGGAGATGGTGGGATTCGCGATTTTGCAGCAGTACGCATTTAGTGTCCAAGAGTACTCAGGAAATTATGACAAAATACTACAGGATGCTCAGAGGAGGAGAGAGAAGAAAGATTGATCAGGGTAAAACAAGCACTGTGTAAGATCGATGAGCCCACTAACGCTCATTTATGGTACCTTGGTATCGCAAGGAAAGCAATAGTGTACATGGTGTGTACTTTGAGTGTGTGACTGCTGTTCGCTTATCAGCATGCAGTTTGGGTTGAGAACATTGCCGAGATATGTATATTAGAAGGCTTTTTGGGTGCGTCGTTGACAAATATCTGGTGACCATACCATTGAGATTGATGCATATGTCACGGAACAAGATTTTCCGGTTTCTTTCTTTTGTGGATTAGAAACGTAAATGAAAGAGTAGTTTCTTGACCTCTTGCTTCACACGAATAAGCTCTGTTATGTTTCCGTACAGATAGCACTATTATATCAACTCTATTGTTATTATTAAAAATTCCTTATTAGTATTATCAACTTCAACTAGAGATGGCTATTGTTTCTTGTTTTTTCTCTCACTCTATATATATATATATATATATATATATATAAATCTGGTTTAATGAAAGAAACATAGTAAAACAAGACAAATCTTTATTTGTTCAAGAAATTGTAAACATATTATAATTGAGAATATTTATTCTAGGATTGAAAATGGATAGTTACCAACATATTTGACAACAATTTATCGTACATATTAATTAGGTTATGAATGCCTTTTTTGATAGGAGCACCTTTTTGAAATTATTATTGAAACCATGATTAGCAAATATTTTTTTATTTTAAACTTGATAATTAATCTTACTTGTTTTGTTAGGAAAATAAAAGAGATCTTTTTTTGTTATGAAATATTATTTATAACTAAAATGTATTCAATAAAAAAATTAATACATTATTATTTATAAAACATATTATTTTATAAAATTGAAGCTTTGGGTTATAAGGTTGATTATAATCCAAAGTTGACTTTAACAAGGTTCATTATAATAAGAGCTGATTATATCTTACAAAATATCCATTTTCTATTTTTATATTTATTCTTTTAAATTATATTTTTTTTAAAAAAACATAAGTATTTTTTTCTATATTCAATAATATTTTTGAATAAAAATTTTACATGTAATTAGTTGAAGATATTTTTAAAATTTTTAAATTATAAAAAAATGGCATTATATTTATAATTATTATATATTTTTTAAATAATTTTTTATATTTATTTTATTTTTTGATGCACAATATACAATGTGTGTCAATCTATTTCAATATATTGTTCGAGAACTTTAAGTAATAAAGTTAAAAACTATGTTGGTTTGAGATCAATTTGTCAAATTTCTAATAATTTATTGTAATCAACAAGTTGCTAAGTTGATTGTAATAAATACAAATTGATTGCAATCAATTTGTACACATTTACAATAGCCTAGTTTATTTCTATATATATAAAAAAATAGTATATTTTTTATAAGTATTTGAATATTATATGAAAATTATTTGATTATTAAGTAATTACACTATAAGTATTAAATAAGTATTATGTAAGTGCAATAATTCCCTCTAGAAAAACATCCAACATATTATTACAAATTTATTGCAATCAAGAAGTTGCTAAGTTGCTTTTGATGCTCTAAGAATATTAACTTGGCATGGTGACTAGATGTTGGATGTCACTACCAAATCTAAGATAATAAGGCATTTTCATTTGCACCTACAACTTCAATTTCTTGCATACATAATAAAAAAGATGCATTTTGCATTGATACCTGCATCTTTATTTTTTTAATTTTGACTTTATCTACTGTTAATTCTACCAATATATCTAAATTAGTGATATTATTAAAAACAAACCTTTAATATTGTTTGGATATAAAAATACTAAGATTATAAATTTTATTTGATGATCTAAATATTTATTACAATTAAATATTTTTTATAAGTTAAAAGAGTTTTGTAAAGCAAAGAGTCATTAAATTGGAGTCTTAGTAAGTTATAGATATAATTATTATAGATGGTTTTGTATATTTCTTTTTAAAAATAATAGTTTATATTTAATTATTAAAATTAAAGTTTAAGATTTTACAATTAGGATTACATGTGTGTTGATTTTTTGACTTGTTTATTTATTGATTTTGACTTGAAAAACCATCTTCTATTTCATTTTTGCCATCAGCAATTCTAATAGTTTAAATAACTTGCTCTATAAGTTCTTAGTTTGTAAGATATACCAACTTTGATTTGGTCTTTAAGGTTTTAACTTTTGATATAAACATTTTTGAAAGTTTAGAAAACACTATTGGATCTATTTGGAGCTTGTTCATTCCAAATGTGTCATTGAATTGTTCTAAAAGTGTATAGATTTGAAAATATGAAGGATTTGACTATTTTGAATTTTGATTTGACTTTGCAAATGGCTTAGATTTTGTAAGTTTTTGTTTGACCTATCCTTGTATTTTAAGCTTCTAAAAATCAAGTGGTGGAATTTAAAAATTTTGGATTTTGGATTTTAGATTTTAGAATTATATGGTTGTGTCTAATTTTTTATTTTCTTATTTTTTGATTTTGAATTGAATTAACTCTTCTCCCTCGTTCCATCTATTTTTATTGTCTAAAATTTTAATGGTATAAATAACATGTACTACAAATTTTTAGTTTGCAAGATATGGTAACTTTGACTTTTGATTTAGAGCTTTGATTTTTTTTATAGAATGATTTTTAAAAGTTTTGAGAAGACATTTGGATCTATTTGTTGATTGTTCATTCAAAAAATGTCACTAAATTGTTCTAGAAATAATCAAATTTGTAAATATTAAAAGTTTGACCATTTTAAAATTTGAGTTGACTTTGTAAATTGGTAGGATTTTGAAAGTTTTGGTTTGACCTACCTTCATATTTTTGAAACCTACAAATTCAATGGTGGACTTAAAATATTCTACAAAATTCAACTCTTAATTAGGTCTTCAGCTAGTGATTTGAAGAATATCACTTCTCATGGTAAATTTATCCCAATTCATCCCTCCAACTTTGCATTTTGGTATTTTGAATTTATAAAAGAAAAAAGTAAAAAAAAAAAAAAAAAAAAAAAAGGGGTCAATTTGGGTTGTCATCAAGTAATAAGCTAATCCAGTCTTTTTTTCTGTGAAGGCTGTGGGGCAGTGAATCAACGAAGTGGGTTTGGGTTTCAAATGAGGTGGTGGTTTTGCTCACAAAAGTGCCAACACTACCCACAAGTAGCTAATAATTTCCCCATCTGACATTGCCATGTCCCTTCCATCCCCAAGATTATCTTCACTGGTTCTCGTCTCAATTACACTGCAGCCGCATTGTTTGTCCTTTGTTTTTATGTTTTGTTATATTTGTGTGCTTTCCCTTGTTTAGAAACCCATGATGCATTGTTCCCAGAAAGCTGCTCAAATTGAGGTCTGCGTTAAGGCATCAAGCTGGATGTAGTTGTCAGAGTTCGGGGAGGGGGGTTGATGGAGACGCACATTTGCTTTTCATGTGGTGATTCGTAGCTGCTATTGGTGCATCAGGTGATAATGTGTGGGACTATGAACATTGATGAGGACGTCGCTTACATAAGAAAAGTGTGCCATGTGCTCCCTTCAGTTGCAGAATTGGACCAGCTTTAGCACTCTCTTTGCTTACACTCTGAGTTCGGCAAACATTGACTGTGCAGAATGTGGATGTTGCTGTTGTTGAAGGAGGTCCATTTCCAGCAGCTGAAATGGTGTGGGGACAGACCCAACTGCTGTTGTGCTTGTTAGTTGCGGTTTTCCTGGCGATGCCGCACTGTGATGCCGCTGCTCCAAGTCTTCGTTCAACAGGTGAGCTCTTCAGGATCCTGCTGCGGACTTGTTATTCATCTTGTCTCTAGGGAGAAAACAACTTCGGTTCGCATTCACCGGTTTCCATAACCTGGTTGCTTTTGAAGTTCGTTTAATACTGATCGGACGAGATCTTACTTTCACTGGGATGCTCATGTGACCGGATTGCAGCTACTGTACTGATTGATTCTCTAGTTTCTAGCACTTTCTGGCGAGTTGTTTCGGTTTCATGCTGTGGCCCCATGCGAGCCATGTGTGGAATGGCTCTTCTTGTTAGTAATGATACCTGCAGAGCTATTTGATTTTTGAACAAAAGTGTATGAAGGACTCGTGAAGTCCAGATAAGATCCGCTCAAGGCTCACTGAATACAATGTATTGCGCTTGAGTCTGTAATGCATAGCGATTATGTGTTACATCTGTGTTGGGCCAGGCACTAGGTATTTGCTAGCTACGACAAGTGCCAATGGAGCTATGTTAGAGGAGTCGAAGATCGGCGATGACAAAGTGGTATGATAAAAATAAAAATAAAAATAAAAATCCCAATGCTCTAAACCCACTTGCACTGTTACTGAGTATAAAGTGTCATAACAAAAATCACGCATCTCAGTTGTGTAGCTTGGATTGGCAGGTGCCGACTTCTCCGTTGGAAAACAAAAACGAGTCCAATGTGTGGACCCACTTTCAGGAGCAAGAGGTTTCGGTGGACTACACACCCTCCGGAGCGAATCCGGACCCTGGAATGCCCCCCCCAATTGGTGCTTAAAATTCCAGTCACTGCATTAGAACATGCAACTTATACACTCCTCCAAGTTTGGCAGAGTTGACATTGAGCTGATAACTTCATGCAGTGGGTGTAGCTTCATGTACACCGGCTCCAGGTACACCTTTTGACAGTGAAGAAGCAACAAGTCACAGTTTCGGACAATCACATAGAGAATAAAATGAATTATGGTGGGTTTCTTCATGCAATATTCTTTTGATTGATGATGAAGTGTCACACACCTGCCTATTTTCTCTTCATCAGACCTAGAAGTCTGTTTCCTTGGGTATTGAAGTGCAGTATTTACTATTCCCCCGAACGTTGCCAGAGGAGCAATCAATTTGGAAGGCTTGTTGTCATGTGGAAATCCTTCATGAAAAATCAATGTATGATATAACTGCTCTAGTATGTTGTATGATACGGTGGTTCTTTTCAAACTCAACAAAGGATTTTTTTATTAAAAATCTTGTCAGTGCAATTAAAATACATGGTGTGTGTTAGAAAAATCTCTTAACAAAATTCTGTAAAACAAGTTTGTTGAAAGTTCCCATGAAATATAAAGATTTGATTTGACTATATTAACTTATTAAATTATTAAACATATTAAATTGATAATTTAATAATTTAAATTATTGAATATATATTAACTTATTAAATTATTAAATATATATTAACTTATTAAATTATTAAATATATATTAACTTATTAAACATAATTTTTATTGTTTTGGATTGATGTTGTAATAGAATAGAAGTAATAGATAAATAAAAGTAATTATTTGATTGATAATTCTTATTTGATGGTGTTAGATGGAAATATAACAGATTGGTGAATGATTTGTTGTTGATTTTTCTTGAAAGTCCAAAATAAGTAGATAATACAATGCAATTGTATATTGGACAAGAGTTTGAAGGATAAAGGACTACTAAAAAAGACACCTCATGAAACCAACACATTGTAATTATCAACATATTAGTTTATGATAATTTTTATTTTGTTAGAAAAATATTTCTTTGTTTATTTATTATTTATGTATGTATGTATGTACACCATGAAAATGAATATAATTAAAAAAAGTTAAAGTTAAAAATTAATCAAATTTTATTAGTGGATATTTGATTATTATGCTTAAATATTATTTAAAAACAGTAAGCATTTTTTAAATATTTAAAATATTGAAAAAAAAATCATGATTGTAGAATATTTCAATTACTTTTTAAAAACTTCTACATACATAATTAATTTTTTTTAATACATTTTGCTTTACATTTTGTTTTTACTTCTGTTATTCCTACGTGTCTACTTATTTATTGACGATAATGCCAAATTTTATGTTTTTTTAAATTCTATAATTTGTTTGTGTTTTTTTTTATCTGTCTCCAAATCTTCATTACTTATTTGATGGTTTTAGTTAGCTTCTCTTTTCTTGTTTTTTTTTCATTGGAAAATATCTTTATTTTTTAAAAAATCTTACCTTTAATTCTATGGCAATTGTTTTGTACCTTTGGCTTTCTTTGTGTGGTCAAGAGTAATCATAATTGTCTATTTCATTGTTTTATTTCTTTGGATCTATTTTTGCGACATTTTCTTAAGACTTTTTTAGTAACTTTTTCTAATATTTGATTATCAGTTCAACATTTTAACTATTCATAGTAAAGTATTATTTCATTTTTGATAAAAATCCATTAACTGGTTTGCTTATCTCTAAAAATAAAAACTACTAATTGCTTTCTTTCCACATATAATCTTTAATATCCTACATTAGATATGATTTTAAAAATATTCTCTACATACACACATATTTACTTCTTTTTCTATTACAATCCAACTCAATATGATTCAGATGTACAATATTGTTGAGTAAATAAAATAAAACAGAAATAAGTGAAAAAGAAAAGAAAAGAAATGAAAAAGTAATTCTAAATAGATTTCAATATGTGTATGTAAATATAATCAAGCATTTTATTTTATTTTTTCCTCTGCTTTTTTCCATTTAGTACTTCCTATTGACTTCTTCTGCACACTCAGCATTTGCAGGATTCCATCCTAGTTGGATTTTTGCACAAATCATCCGCTAAGTGGTGTTCCTACTAAAAGGGATTGGTATAGTAGTTGAATCCATGGATAAACAAAGCAGTGTGCAATAGAGCCATGATTATCATAATCTGACATACGTCGAACTTCAAGTTCAAGGGATTACCGTCAAGAATCATCGACATTATACGTAGAACATGATTTGGTTGAGAACTAGAACTCAAGAGCACCCAAAAGAGTTGAGCATGATGAGATCAGCTACTTATCTGATTCCTGACATGATGACCCAGTCTCCGGAGTTGGGTGGTGAATGCGTTTTGCAACTGAAGGTGTTTGGGTGGAATACGCCCGAAGATAGCTCTAGAGCCTGATCAACCATCACTTATCGAGTGTAAACTCGGCAGTTCGCAGGTGGGCAGTTCCAGTTTGGAGGATTCAGGCCATACAGTTGACACTGAGGAACTACATTGTATGCATATGCTGCTCTGCTTGAAGCACATACGAGAAACTTCACAAGTGTGGTGTAGGTTATGACTTTAATCGACAATCACTGCATCTCGTCGATGCATTAACTCAGAAGTAACTGATGCTTTCAATGCAGTTTTTTATGCCCACCCTTGCTTTTGGCAGTACTTTTTATATGGGTAAGTATTGAATGAACAGACTCTGTGAAAACAGACACACAGATGATTACAAACTCTTAAGAAGCCTCTCAATATCCTAAACAATGATAGTGAACCGACTCAGAAATGATCAAAACATACTTGTGACACAGTTGGTACCCACAAACTGAAGTTTAACCATGTTGGACATTGCTTGACTCACCTCCTCAGCCCTTCGAAGCGCGTTCACCTCCCTGATGTTGTTTAAGAAGTCACTAAATTGTTCACAAGTCCAACGCGCCCTGGATTGTATTTGGCTGAGGATTAGACGAATTCACTTACAAGCCTAAAAATTTGCTAGTCTTGCATACATGACTGACTTTCAGACGGGTTATTGCTAATCAATTCAACGCCCCGAAACTGACTGACAATACATTAAAAAAAAACAAAAACAAAAACAAACTGATATTCCACTGCTGCATAAATTCTTAGAGGGAATGCAATTAGGTCTCAATAAAAAATCATCTTTTGCAGAAAGTTGTAGAGTTGTCAAAAAACTAAAAACTAAAATTGACAAAAAGATGTAATACAAAGTTCTATACTGGTCATGGTGGCTCCCCACCTGGCACGCCGGAAGACTTCTTTACCGTCAATCCGTCGTGATTTTGCTGTAAGGAAATACCAAATACAAAGGATCAGGGGGGTTATGTTCGCAAAGAAAGTATGCTCATCATAGAAGAGGGTTTTGATTGCAATTGATTCTCTATACTAAATCATGTAAATGTTCATCTCAAATGCGAACAAAATGGGCCCTTCAATAAGTGTCTCCTTGACCCTAATCAGGAAAACAATATCTCACAGAACATGTGAACTTCCATATATGTTACCTGGTCCTGTGTCTGATGGTAGGCGAGGGGTCAGAGGACACTCCCACTGACTCTTTTCAGAGATTGCGCCCGCAGACTTATAATTATCAGTCCACTTATCTATCAAAAAAATTAAATGCATCATGTTTTATTATATTCTTCACTGACACGAATGTACGAGTTGACTGCAACAGTAACGGATTATGGTTCAAAGAAGCAGCAACTACAAGTGGACTGTGCACAATATGAGGATTGGGTATGAACATACCGTCTTCCATAGCCTTACCAGATTCTTCACCTTTTGCAGAATCCCGAGGGGAATCCTGGGAGGTAAGCATCATGCATGAATATTGCCCTTGCTCTGATCGCAGTGATCACCAAGACGGTCAGTATCCAAATCAATTTTTTTTTTTAAAGTTGAATTGACTAGGTACTGATACGCATGACGATACAGAAATCACTGGCTTATAGATAAGGTTGGTGTATTTCTACTACACGGATATAATACGATGGGATCAAAATAGAAGCCGACTTTTCAATTGCCATTTGTGCGTCTATGAGTAAAACCGCTGAGAGGGTAGAACATGCTTTACAACAAATGACCTAGATTGTGACCCATGATTCGCGAAGAGAAGAAGGCTTACGCTTTCTTTTCGTCGGTGTAGGAGGTTCTGTGCTTTTCGACATGATTAATGGCAGTTGGAGAAGGGATTTTTCTGATGAACAGTATGTGGACGCTGATGCTTCTGGCGCGTATGCATATGTAGCGTCACCCTGTAATCAGAAACTACGTTAATGACAACAGAAACCTCTCTGTGTTAATTCAGAGCATGCAATTAGTTTAAGGCTTGTTAATTTGGCAATTACTGGATTGTCATCAAAATCTGAATTCGGCCCCAAAGATCGGACTACAGCCTTCTTGAAATCATCCAACTGCGAGACACACTTTTCAGAGTAAATAACCAACTTCATTGAAACCCGACCAATATCTCTATTATAAAATGCTGCGCTTTAGCTAATTGTCTTTCAACGGCTGATATCGACGGACTGCACACGGCATGACGATCACGGGATCAGGTTTGAAGAGTTTAAACGACGTATTGCAGCCTGTGTTTCATAATCCCTGCAAGTAATGAATAGCATACATGAGTTTGGTTTATTTATCTGATGGCACTGGGTTTACCACCGAAACTTGGCACATCAATGTTTTCATTTGATCTGCAAGCGCATCCTTAACCTCCGCTAATTTAGCCTGAATGCAACATAATATGTTGTAGCCGATGCTCTCGGAAGAGTCCTCAGTTCAAAAATCTCTCACTCCAGATTGATTTGTAACCCATTACATGTTCCAATGTAAAAACTCGATCATGAACTGTACACTCACTTATCAGTTCACAAATTTGGCAAGCCCTGAACTGTCACAAACGGAGCATCCAAAACCGAATAATCCTACCATGCCAGAGTGGGCACCTGATCCTGCAAAGCAACGGCCAGCTTGGCAGTTATCCCACCCAACATGCTCTCCACCGCAGAAACTCGTGCCTGAAGGTCCTCAACGATAGCCGCTTTCTCCACGAGCTTCAGCGTCAAACAATCCAGCTCCCCCTCCAGATTCGCAACACGGCCAGAAACAGCAAAGCGAGTGATCTGTTGCGCGATCTCAAGTTGTTGATCAGGATGCTCAGGCAAATTCATGAGAATCCCATCCGCCAGCTGCATCTCCCCGGCCTTGCTCATCTCGGCCCTTGCAACTCTCCTTCACAACTGAAAAATCAGCAACAACAACAACAACAACAACGTCCAGTGCTAGAGTCCCAAGATGAAGCTGCAGCAGCATGGATCACCTCCGAAACGAGAACAACCCAGCAAGTAAGCAAGGACCCACATGGCCATGAAGGGTGAGGAGGATCCACAAGCACCGTCATCGCACCCTTTCAATTCCTGTTTGTTGCATACAGTGAAGTGAAGTGTGAAGTGAAGTGCAGTGAAGTGGGAATTGAATCCCTTCTTCTTCCTTTGCTTTGCTTAACTTTGCTATTGCAGCTTCCCTCTGCCCCTCCTCCTCCGCAGACTCTCACTGTCCCTCAGATTGATGTCCATTCTGGTCACCCATTCTGGACACTGTGTGTGATATCTCTCCATTCTTATAAACACCTACGTACTATACTTGTATTGGGGCTTTTGCTTAGGAGAGAATATTTTCATGCAAACTATTGGTGTGTAATAATTTTGAAACAATGTATTCCATTGCAAGACAATGTTATCGAGAATTACTCAATACTTGTGTCATTCTTATCACATAATTATATTTATAATCATAACACCGTTCTATCAATGCAGATGTATAAATGTATCTCACGTTTTGGATGTTTTTGGTTTTTATTGAAAGAATGTTTTCTGGTGCATTGAAGAAAAAGTAGGGGTATTGTTGCAATGTATTTCTTTTGGTCTTGTTGAGAAGTATATGTGAGAAAAAAAAATACAAATACAAATACAAAAGGGTGAAATTTTTCATATAAAAGGAGAGTGTTTTGTATCATTAATGACATATTTAATGTTTCTTTAGAAGAAAAAGTAGCTTCAATGACATTTCCAACACAATTTTTTAACTAATCATTTATTTTAGTGAAATTTTATTTTATTTTTAGTTATATGGAATAATATATATATATATATATATATATATAAATTATGTCTCAATTGATGTTTTAAAGTGCCTTGTGTTGTTGCTTCTTTCAGCAAAACGAGATGTTATGCAAGACTCTACCTATTGACAATGTCAAACCATAGAGCTATAGAATAAGTCTTTTAGTCATGCCAAATGATATTACCATCTCCATTTTGTGAATTTTTTCTTTAGCAAAACTGTATTTAGATTTTGACTTTTTTCTTTTTTTACAAATATGATAAGAATTTGTATAATTGCATGATAAATGAATGAATAAATAGATGTATTATTGTTTGGATAGATGCACACAAAAAAACACTGCTCTTTTTTATTTACAAAGTATTTGTATGCTATATATTTTAATTCTGCATTATTACTTTGTTTATTCTAATATTTATACTATATTTATGTCAAAATAATCATACATCTTAGAATTTTAATAACTTAAAATAAAAAAATGTGAAAATTTGATAATTAAAATTATTTTAATTTCATTATTAAAAAAAATAATACCATAAACTAGCATTAGTTGCTTTTATTGTGGTTTAGAAGCATATATTAAAGCTACTTATTAATATATGACAATATAAAGTATAAGATTTAATCAAAATAAATATATATAATTAAATATTATAAAAAGAAATTTTATTGATATCACACAAATTTAAATTTAATAATAGGAAAAAAAATAAACAAATAAATAAACAAAAATAAATATATATATATATTATGAAAACGAATTAAAATAAAATAAAATAAGATCACACAAATATCATGGTTTTAATAAGCATAATTCTATAAGAATTTATACGATTTTTTTTTTAATTCAATAAAAAAATAAAAATTTAAGTACAACTTTATTACTAAAATTATTGTAAGATTCTAAATTTAAATAAATTAATATTATATTTTGATAATATAATATATATTTGTATGTATATGTATATATATAATGCAATCTAGTTAATAACTATACATTGTGAAATATCAATTTTATAAATGCATTGTTAGATGAAACAAATCCAAAATTCACAAAAAAGAATTTCATTTAAAAATGTTTTTTTATAATTTCATAAACTAAATAATTATGCTTCACAATAGATCCCAACTTTATGCTCATAATTACAAATTCTAAACTACTTAAATTATGAGAGGAATTTAAATTATATAATAATGAATCATCAAATATAAGTTGAAAGAAATTTTGACAATATATTTATTTTATCTAACTTATTCAATTAGCAAACCAAATGAAACATATTTTTCATATAATAATAATTAGAAATTAGATAAATAAAAAATAAAAATAAAATAGTAATAAATTTATTTTATTTTATTTCATTAAAAGATAGAAAATAAATTTGAAGAATTTTTTTGAAATAAATTTAGAGAAAATGAACAATAATTGGATTTGATTTTGTAAATTTGTATATTATTATCCTCTCAGTAAAAGTGAACTAAAAAAAATTATTTTAATATACAAATGATCATGTTTAATTTAAATGTAGTCAAGATTTTTTTAGCATGATAAGTAAAATAAAACAATATGTATTATGTAATACATTTATATATCTATCTATCTATCTATCTATCTATCTATCTATCTATATATATATATATACACACACACACACTCACACACGAATTCAAATAAGTTATACATATTTTAGGCCAAAACATAAAAATATTAATACATTAAGAACCAATTCAATCTAATAATATAATATTATTTTTATAATTTATTTACTAATTCTCTTATACTAAATAATCGTGTGGTTCTTGAGGTATAAACAACATATTCCTATTTAAATTTTATTAAAAATATATGTTTTATTTTTTTACAAATAATGTTTTGTAATGAATTCATACCAAAAAGATGTTTAAGAAGAAAACATTTGTTTCATATGATAGTCTTTGTGTAAAAAAATGTATGTACACATACAAAAGAAAAAAGAAATATATATATATATATATATATATATATATATTATAATTTTATAGAACAGGAGATGAATTTTGTGGCATAGAAAAACAATAAAATTTCCCAAGGCTTTTTAACCGTACCCTTTCAATGTGAGCTTTCCAAGTACAAATAAACCTCACTCAATCACCACATTCCCTGTAACCTCAAACCACCGTTGCCCAGGGTGGAAGGGTCCCAAACACGGTCATCCATCACCAGGACTGAATAACTCACACGGTCATCCATTACCGGGAGACTTGGACATGAGGCCTCGTAGAATCGTGTCGCAGAAACCTACTAATTCAATCGACTGGATCCGCCATCGTGGGCCGTCGGATCACAGCTGGCGCTCAGATGCAATGTCAACCGCCGATCAGATTTTGGGAACGTAGGGGAACCAGGGGGTAGGAACGTTAGAGGCTGGGCAGTTTGGAGGGCGATAGGCTGGGAACTCAGAACCCATATACAAACGTCTTATAATGCTGCAAAACCAGTTTGTAATTTAGATCTTTTTCCAATTTCCAATGCATAATACGAATTTGATCTTACATTTAGCAAGACTTTCATTTAAAATATTTTTAATTCTATGTTAATTAGAGCTTATATTTATAAAAAAAAATTGAAAATAGTCATGATAAGATTAAATAAAAATTTACAAAATTAAATAATTAGTAAATTGGCTAATTATCTAACATATCATATTAATTTTATGTAAATTTATTTATTCTTATAACTTAATTTTATTATTTTAAAGGTATATCTTGCTTTAAAATATGTCTCTTATATACTCTTATATGAAACTGATTTAATAATATAATTATGTGTGGTAAAAAAAAGGTACAATTGAATTTGATTGAATCACTTTAGATCTGTTATTATATATACATATATATAATTCCAAAAAAAAAATTATGCATTACCAAAGTTTTAAGACTATTATTTTAAAGGTTAACTATTTTTTTGACATAAAACTAAAACCCCATTAATTTAAATTATTATTTTTTATCAAAACAACATGTGTTATATTTTTTTAAGAATTATCTAAATAATTTTGTTTAATTTTCTTCCTTTTTTTGGAACATTATGTTATATGTTAATGCAATATAAAATTTTAAAAAATATTTTAATTTAAAAAAATATATTTTTATGCAATACATATTTTATAATATATTTAATAAAAAATTCTAATACTGCCTAAAAAATATATGACTTGCAAGAATTCTTCCTAGAAACAAAAGTATCATGTCCATTGAGTACTGTTGTATATGACAACAAAATTAAATTGTTTGAAGCATGTTGAGAATGTTTAGAAAGGCATAAGTGTAGTAGTAAGTAATGCACACATACACACACAAGAGAGTTTCTAAGGAGAGAGAGCTTCACACACAAGTCTATTGATCTAGTTGTGTCATGTATACAAGAAAAGAAGGGAAGAGGATAAATAGTTCCTCTCCACTACATTCCAAATACTATAGCTATAGTATTTATTCTAGACTACAATAAATATTATGGAGAGCGTTGGCTACATTTAATGCTCTCAATCCTCCTCTTCACTCATCATAATATTTACATAATATAAAATTTGTATAGAATTATGATCTATACTTTTTTGTAATCTCGCAAGATCAACAATTGTTGCCTCATTAAAACCTTATCTATGAAAACCTTATTGTATTTAAGGATAAAACCATAGATGAAGGAAAAAGAGTACAACATCATTTTCCTTGATTATTTAAAGAATTCATTAACTTTCTTATTCAAGAAAAGCAAGCCGCGGCATACCAATGCTATAAATAAGTCGATGATGGTTGCACAATGGAAGAGCTTTGGTGAAGAGATCAGCAAGATTATTTGCAAATTCAATTTTCTTAATTATAAGTGCTTGATCAGTAATCAAGTCATGGGTATAACTAAAATACTTTAGATGTTAGAGACAAGTTTCTAGAACCTTCTAGAGACAAGTTTCTAGAACCTTCTAGAGACAAGCTTCTAGAACCTTCTAGAAGCAAGTCTCTGGAACCTTCTAGAAGCTTCTTAGTTGATAGAAGATGTTCGGGACATAGTTCTTAGAACCTTCTAGAGATAAGTTTCTAGAACCTTCCAGAAGCAAGTCTCTGGAACCTTCTAGAAGCTTTCTAGTTGGTAGAAGTTGCTTGAGAAGCTTCCTAAATAGGAGTATATATTGGAATCCAGGTTGAAGAGTTCTTCAGTCTCGACAACACATCTCTTGGAGCTCTAGTTCACTTCTCTGGTGTTGTTCTTGTATTCATTTGATTAATCTAGTTCTTGCCAATTCTTCTTGAACTTCTTGGTAGATATCAAGTCTGTATTCTATGTCCATGACAGTTTGTCGAGACTTCACTCACCTCAGATATCAGAGCTAGTTTCTTCTTTGTTAGAGTGTGGATTACCCCTCTGC